TTAGGTTCAACCAAATGTTGTATAGCCACGTTTGCTTCAAGGTACACATTGTGCTCCTAAATTAGAAACGCTTAAAAAACAAAGAGGAAAAATAGAGCTTGTGGTTTTCACACCGCTTTGGAGGATATTGGGCCTTTCTAACACATGTGTCATCATGATAAATACAACAGTGGGAAAACGCATAGCCCAGAGGTAGGTGCTCAGTGGTTTGCTTCCTTTGGTGCCCAGGAAAAGGTAGGAGACAGACTTCATCAGAATCAGGTCTTGGGCACGAGCCTGATGGGGAGACATCAGTGCACAATAGATAAGGAGAGAGCAGTAGTTTTGTGATAGAGAACTGTCCAGAAAGGTTTCCCAGAGGAAGAGTTGTTAGAGGCGGCACGTGAAGGACAGTTTGCCAAGCACCGAAGCCGGGACGGGCATTTAGTCACAGGAGATAGGACCGACAGAAAGCACAGATGTAGGAACAGGATGAGTCTGGCTTCCCTCACCCCCAGACAGCCAGCTCTTTCTGCATCTGTGAGTTGTAAAATGCCTACTGTGTGCAGGGCCTCTGTTGGGTGCAGGGAAGCACCTCCAGTCCTGTCGTCTCCACGTACAGCGGTCACTAAGAGAAGTTCCTTGACCTGCCCGAGATCGATGGGACCGATTTGGAGGGGGGCACAGGGGCTGAGGGCACTGGCTTGCCCTGCGACTTAAAAGGTGAATCCTCTTGGAGTTTCTAGGATAATTTGAAGTTTTATGGGGATGATGGGATAAAATATGCAAAACTTGGGACCTTTCTGGAAAAACCTTTAGGGTGAAAGGTCTCCTTTATTGTTAGATGCTGCCAGACACCAGTAGATGACTGGTGGTGGTTGCTCTCCATAACAGCTCTTTAAAAATTAAAGATAAAGTAGGATTTGTTTGGGACATGCTAAGAAATACAGATTTAATTTCACCTCTGTTTCTGAAATAGTAGGGGACTAATTTGGGCCCTGTTAATACTCTTGTCATGAATCAGTTGTGAAATTCCACAGTTGAATAGTGATTCGTTATTTTGATCCCCCTTTCTGAGCAGTTTATGGACAATTCATCTCCTCTCACCCCCGTCCTGAAGGGAACATTCCAGGGACAGACTGGTTTCAGCCTTCCTCTTTTAGGTGGCATCTGGGTTTGGCACAACGAGGGACTTGTTAGGGTCTCTCCCACTAGAGTCCAAGCTCTGTAGGGCAGGGCGGATCTGTTCGCCACCGTGTTCCTAGTATAGCACCGGGCACGGTCCTACCCGGGAAATGTTTGTTCAGTGTGATGTGGCTGCTCCTGTGACATAGTGTGTTGGCTTTGGAGGAGATCATTGTCATTTTATTTTATTTTATTATTACTATTATTATTATTTTTTTTGGGGGGGGGGGGAGAGTGGGAGCAGGGCAGGGACAGAGAGAGGGGGACAGAGGATCTGAAGTGGGCTCTGCGCTGACAGCAGCAGCAGCCCAGCTGGGGCTCAAACCCACAAACCACAAGATCACAACCTGAGCCAAAGTCGGAAGCTCAACCAACTGAGCCACCCAGGCGCCCCAAGATCGTGATTTTAAAAAAGAATTTCCGAATCGATTTTCTTTGTGATCAACCGAATGTATTAACTTCCTAATACATTGGTTATAATGGTTTAGATTATCTGAGCTGGGCTGAGAGAACACAGTTCTAAAGAGAACAGGGGGGCTTGGCCAGGAATATTTAGAAGTAAGTTCATGGGGTTGCCTAGACCAAGACCTTTAGGCCAGAGGTGTTCAATACTGTGCTAATTGTCAGAATCACCTGGTTTGGGGGCCCGGGGCAGGAGATGCAGGGTGCAGATTGCAGTGCTGGGTGGAGTGCTGATAGGTTTCCCACGTAGGACGGTTCTGTGTGTGTGGTGGCCGGTGGGGTGTGGGTGCTGCTGCTGTCTTGGTGGGGGGGGTCTGTCTAGAGATGAGGGGAGGCGGGTCTCTCCCAGCATCACATCACAATCCAGTCTTTTTATTGTGATACTTGATACCCCAAAATAATACATCAATACAGATTACAGAACATGACAATAAAACACTGTCCCAACTTAAAAATCAAAACATTTCCTGTCCTGTTGTGCCAGTCTGCGTGTTCCTTCTCTGTCTTCTCTCCAGGGCTGGTATGTTTGTGTGGATTTTCGAAAGTACCCGGAAGGGGGAGGGGCGGTTATAGCCCTGCTTGATGCGGCATCTTAACCCATGTTTGTAAATCTAACGCTGGAATGTGATGCAGGTATAAATTAAGAATGATAGAGCTAACTACCATGTAGTTACCACCTGATTTCAAGCACTCAACTTGACCAGCTTGGTCAGGGCCCCCTGACCCCCTGGCTCTCCCTCCCCAACGTAAGTAACCACTGTCCTCAATTGTGGTTCTCATTCCCACCCATTTCTTCTTGCTACATATGTATTTCCAAGCAGTATAGAATTGTTTGGTATGCTTTCTAACTTCTTACCAATCAGTTTAATATTGTATGCATGCTGCCACCTGCTTTTTAAGAGCAGCCTTATGTTTGTGAGGCCATCTG